TCTTCACTGGGTCTGCATTATACTGTAGACAGACAGACAGACAGACAAAACCTTCAGCTGTCAAAGAGTGATGAGTGCCATGCCGGGGGCAAAAGAGAAAGTTGCAGTGGGAGGTGCAATTTCATAGCGATGGTGAGGGAAGAAAAGACCCTGGAACAAAGACGGGAGGGATCGGAGGAAGGAGAAGAAAGTGAGCAGAGTGGCTATCAAGTAGCCAGCAGAAGCAGGACACTGGCGCTGAAGCCGGGCGCTCAGCACAAAGATGCTGGCCGGCGGGGCTACAGCGGGACTTGGAGAGGAAGCTGAGAGAAAGGAGAGAGTTCGGGCGGCAGAGAGGGAAGTAACCCAAGAAAGGCTTGCCTGCAGGCTCCACAGACGTTTTGGAATCGACTGTGAGATGGAAATTTTCTGCAGAAAAGGGCCATGCTCTGATTAACATTTTCGGAGAATTACTCTAATTAGCGGTTGACTCGGCTGCCAGCAGCTAACAAGGCCCCACATACCAACAGAATGAGAGGCTGGGCAGTAGAGAGAAGAGCATGGGCTTTGGAATTAGGCAGGAGTGTGTCCAAAGCTCGGGCTTCGCTAGCCCTACTAAGTGTGCTGGTTATTTCTACCTGGGAACTTTGATTTCTTTAAACACAAGAGAATAATAGAACCCACCATACAGAGTCATGATTTGTAAGGCACCTGAAATATGATAGTTACTAATTCAGAAAGATGCTACTGTAGTCCTGTAATTTAATGATTATATTGAACTACTTTATCATTGTTAAAAATAACATAGTTTAGACCTTGATTTCACAGTATATCTTCTCTGCTTCTGGAACATGACAGTAACAAATTAGCATAAAAATAAGAATGTGCTATTTAAAAAAAAAAAAAACAAGCCTCGGGCTGGAGAGAGATGGCTCAGTGGTCAAGAGCACTTGTTGCTCTGGCAGAATACTGGGGTTCAGTTCCCAGCACCTCATGGCAGAGCAAAATCACCTGTAACTTCAGCTCCAGGGAATCCCACACCTCTGGCCTCGTAGGGATTCAGACTCGCACGTATGCATGATGCACACACAATTAAGACAATAAAAATAAAATAAAATCTTTGCCAGTCGTGGTCGTACATACATTTAATTCCAGCACCCAGGAGGCAAAGAGAGGCAGATCTCTGCTAGTTCAAGGATCTCTGGGAGTTCAAAGCCAGCCCAACCTCCATAGTGAATTCCAGGACATCCAAAGCTATCTAGTGAGATCCTGCTCCTGCTCCCCAGTCCTCCCCCCCCAAAAAAATTAATTTTTAGAATTTTGGGACGTTTAAAAACACACATAAAACTAAAGCAAATAATGTAACAAATCTCACTATTTATAGCTTTCATGATTAGCACTTATCCTTAGGGCTGGAGAGATGGCTCAGCAGTTAAGAACACTGGCTGCTCTTTCAGAGGACCCAGATTCAACTCCCAGCACTCACATGGTGGTTCACAACCATCTATGACTCTAAATACAGAGGATTTGATGTCTTCTTTTGGCCTCTGTGGACACCAGGTGTGTATGTGTGCACAGTGACATACATACAAGCAAAGCATTTGCTCACATAAAAAATAAAAATATTTTAATAATTAGCATCTATCCAATCTTAATTTTCTTTTTGCAATATTTTAAAACAAATATCAAACAAGCATATTACCGTCTCAGCTATAAATAGAAGTGTATATCCCTAATAGAAAGCAGTTTTGGTTACTATAACTCCAATACAAGGATCATATCTGACAAAATTAATAATCTTACTTTAATATCATCTAGTGAATGTTTTAATTTCCTGTTCATCTCAAGAGTACTTCTGACAGTTTTTTTTTTCTTTTTGGTGTAGGAGGCATCAAATCAAGATGTGAAGCAAAGCCTCTGCTACAATGTGGACCAGTATTCCTCTGACCCTTTGTGTTACAGGTTTTGTGCGGCAGGCTGTGGTGCTATGGGAAGGTGGTAAAGCCTTTATGTGAGGAGCTGAGGTCACTAGGGGTGCACCCTGGAAGGAAGTATTGGGGCTCCGAGTCCTTCTCTCTGTTTGCTGGCCACCACAAGGTAAAGACTTTCCTCCACTTCCTGAGTCCATCATTTGTTCAAAAGTTATGCCAACTGAACATGACACAAACCCTGAACCAACATCTGCTTTTATCTGAAAGTTTTCCTCCCATCCCCTTCCCCCCAGGCCCAGCACCAGCGTCCCTTGTTGCAGAACAAAGCAGTAAAAAAAAAAAAAAGATGTACTCTCTATTAATTGCAGTCAGTAATGTCCTCCATACACCCAGGACATCAAGTATACACAGTGTACTATGGGCACTTTCCATTGGGCTTTCCGCAAGGAAAGAAGTGTTTTCCATTTCCAACAGGGGAGGTTAATACTGTCAACTCCTGCAGAGAAAATGCCACACTGTAAGGAGATGTCCAAGAGTAAACTTAGACTGTTTAACATGAGTATAAAGGGCCATTGTGAAAACAGACCACAGGACCAAAGGCCTCGCTGCTATCCCAGAATTCTCTATGGCCTATCATGGAGTATGAATTTAGATGATTTACCATGAGATAATAGCCAATAGAGCTTCCTGTTTTCTGTCAAAAGAGAAGTCAACATTGTTTCCTGCTGGCCAGAATGTCATGGGCACTTCCCATGTTAGTGACAAGGACAGGACCATGAGGAGGTGGCTGTCAGTAAGAAAGGTTCCCATCTCCCTGGGTGTGTTGACAGGGTTGCTCTGTGAAACTCAAGTCCTAAGAGCTAGCTGGCTTACATTTACTCTTTCAGATAAGTCTCAGAACAATAGTCAAAGGAATTATAAAAATACAGATAAATTTTGAAAGAGCAGAAGCAGTTTGAGACAAGGGTAAAATAAAAGGTCAAAGTTCCTTTTGGTTCCGTGCCACAGCAGGAGGAGGTTTAACCAAAGCATCGCTTGTGAAAATAACTCCCAAAGAGCTCAATTTTCAATATCGGGTCTAAGAAATGACTTCTGGGAGCAAGTCAAAAAGTCAAACTTAGATATTGGTTCTCATAATCCTTTATTTAACTATCAAGTACACAAATTCCTTTGTAGACCTTAATAAAAGACCAAAATTAGAACTGAAGTATTTGTATTCATTGCGAATAATTTTGGACTTGTGGATCCTTTTTGAAATGCCCATGTGAGTCAACATGGGGAGGGAACTAGGGAGAAAAAAGCATGGCCTCCCACTCACAGCTAATTCTGGCTCTGGTAATCAGGGAAACATAAGAGGCAGCCAAGTATGGGCCGGCAGTGCCAACCAGCTTGTTTTGTTTTTCTGTGTTTCACTCAGTAGTCACCCTTCCTTCGGCATTCATCAGCGTGTGACCTTGCGCCAGCCCACTGTGTTCTGAGTATAATAATTATTCATCAAAACGTAAAGCCAGAAGTCTGGTGCAAAGGCATTCACCTCTAATTAAGATGGATAACTCAGAAAGAGAAATCACAGAAGGGAGTCGATAGTCAATCAGACATACAGCAAAACAGGAGAGGGAAGAGAAAGAGCAGAAGCAAGCGGGCAGGGCGAAGGGTGGTTTTGCTTTGCTTTGTTTTTATGATCGGCCTCCAACGTCTGATAAAAAGGAAAAGGGGAAGAAATTAGGGAGCTGGGGAAAACAGCTGTATATGGAGAGCATGTGCCTGGGATATGTGCACCTCCAGGCTCCATCTTCAACACCAGGGAGGGAGGGAGGGAGGGAGGGAGGGACGGAGGGAGGGAGGGAGAAAGGGAGGGAGAGAGGAAAAGAGAGAGGGACAGAGGGAGGGAGGGAGGGAGGGACAGAGGGAGGGAGGGAGGGAGGGACAGAGGGAGGGAGGGAGGGAGGGAGAAAGGGAGGGAGAGAGGAAAAGAGAGAGGGACAGAGGGAGGGAGGATGGAGGGACAGAGGGAGGGACGGAGGGAGGTTGTGCTGTAGAGCTGACCGAGATTCTCATAGGATTGAGCAATACAAGTCTCTTCCACACTGAGCCACAGAGAATTACATGGAGAAGAACATGTAATATACAGTAGGTGACAACAACATATCTATTAATATTTTCCCCTGAACTGGAAATTGAATGACTCTTTTGTGATCCTCCTGCCTCAACTTCTTGACCAGCTGAGGTTATGAGTGTTACACCAGCCCAATCGATAATCTTAAAAAGAACCAGAAGATTGGAGGGAGGAAAGGAAGGGAGAAATGATTTCTTACAAATAAAATAAAACCCAGACGGTAGTGGGACACGCCTTTAATCCCAGCACTTGAGACGCAGAGGCAGGCGGATCTCTGTGAGTTTGAAGCCAGCCTGGTCTACAGAATGAGTTCCAGAACAGCTAGAACTACATACACAGAGAAATGCCGTCTCAAAAGGTTAACAATTTACCTACTATTCTGGGTGTCTGCCAGGGTTCCTTCAGGTTTCATTATGAACCATGGAGGACCAGTGAGAGGGACCCCTCGGTTTTGCATCTCTATTGATACAGTTCTTTTAGGAAAGGGTCTGGGAATGAAAGGGCTTTTGCTATTCAGCTGAACTATTTGACAACAGAGGACTTGTGAACAAATCACATTTTCCCACTTGGCCCTCAGCAGAGAAGGTTGCATTGCTTTCCTACCTGGAGCTCTGCAGGGGGTGTGACGGTGCAGGAGACATTACCCGGCATTTGCATTTAAAGAATTAATAAAAATTCCTCTTTTGCCTGATAGCGCTGTAAAGTTTATAACCTTGACGCTTTATAACCCCCCACAAGGGTTAGTCTCCAGGATGGCCAAACAAACCAATGTGAGACTGTATTTCAAAGAATGCCATTAGTAATGTGCCACTGGACCACAAAACTGGAGTGATGTGGTTCCCTTCGCCATAGAATGTCACAGAAGGGAAACAAATAATACAGAACAATGAAAAACATTCCGTGGGCTATATTAACCTTTGGGTCACCCTTATTAATGACAGCTATTCTGTGTGAATGTTTCTTAGTTCACAAAGTTGAGGACACAGAGGTCAAAACAGCCTTTATTGGTTTGACTTAAAAGGACTTTTCACTTATTTTTGCCTAGGAATTGAAGTCATGGTGTCTCCCAAGGCTTTCCACATCTACTTATGGATTGTTCTGGGATCCATCCCGGCCATAGTACCTGAGCCCAGACTGCCCACGAGCAACAGAAGTAATAGGCACAGGACCACAAGATCCTGAGATGATGTTTCTTCAGGAAAGTCATCTGCTCCACCGCCACCATCACCCTGGAGGGACAGAGGGGCAGTGAGGGACAGAGGGGCAGTGGCATCCCACTGTGTGAAGAAAATTCAAGAGCCATTTCCTGAACCAACGACGAGATGGGGACCCTGCCCCTAGAGTTGACACTCAGGGAGACAGAGCATTGGACACCGATGAGGAATCCTCCGACTTGCCTGCCTGTGTAACTTTTAAAAATTAAGTCCTTGGAAGGTACATGGAACCCCAGCCAGTGGGGCCACTTGGGGTTTTCACAGACACTCAAGCGCCCTCTGGAGGTGATGCTAGGTTTACCAGCCTTAAGCTGTAAGGGATGTTTGGGGTTTGGGGATGGGGGGGGGCTAGGAATCAAACACCCAAGAGGTGTAAAATAAAGATAATAAAGATAATGGCTATATCTCCTTCCTGGAGTACAGAGAAACAACAGAACTGCACAAGAAAAAAACAAGCATAAAGCCCAAATCCTAGTCCTGGAGCTGGCGGGGGGGGGGGGGGAGGCTGGAGGCCCCCACATCCCCACAGACTGGAGAATTAGGAGTTCGACCCCAGCCTCACTATAGGAGACTCTGACAAAATAAACATGAATGATAGGATTAAGGGGTGAATGTGTGGATGAGCAAACAAACAAGTAAATGAGGAAGAGAAAGAAAAAGCAATCTAAAACAGGATAGCCTTGGTCCATTCATGGAAAAGAATTACCTTGAAATCTTTAACACTAAAACACTATAGACTGTCAGACAGAGGATCAACGCCATGCAAGGCTGCTGTGGGTGTTTTCAAAAAAGAACAATGTAGGAAGTGAAAGCATACACTTAAATAATGGCAAATGAATGTGAGAGTAGTGCACAACTAAGTTCGGCTGCCTTGTGAAACAGATGTATGGTGCACAACTATATTCTACTATACTGTGAAACAGATGTATGGTAACAACTATATTCTACTATACTGTGAAACAGATGTATGGTAACAACTATATTCTACTATACTGTGAAACAGATGTATGGTAACAACTATGTTCTGCTGCCCTGTGAAACAGATGTATGGTAACAACTATGTTCTGCTGCCCTGTGAAACAGATGTATGGTAACAACTATGTTCTGCTGCCCTGTGAAACAGATGTATGGTAACAACTATGTTCTGGTGCGCTGTGAAACAGATGTATGGTGCACAACTATGTTCTGGTGCGCTGTGCAGCGTTAAGAGTTTGAAGCTACCATTCCAGGACTTCCAAGTCACTTCTTTGGGTATGTGATGCGGGGAATCAAATGGTGACACAGTGTGTTGGCATAAAGCTTGCCGGGCCTCACCCCTGGATCGACAGGCAGTTTCTGGGGAGACTGAAGCATGGAGCAAGGTGTTTTCTGTATTTGGGGTGTTTTTTCTTAGCAGAGTACACATGGTCAGAAGTCAGACAACTCTCTCTGAACACAGCTGGAAGCATGGGATGCACTCACTGCTTGGATTTCACGTGGTTCGTGGTCTAGTCACATCCCTGTCTCCTGAATGTGGTTGCTCCCATTGCCTTCAGCTCCCCCTCCAGGCCCATGTAGATCAGTTCCCGCTTTTTCCTAAAACATCAGGCTTTTCATAAAAGAAATACCATCTTACCCTTTCCGTGCCCCACTGGGAAAGCCGTATCTGGAGGTTAACCTACCTTCATAAAAGCTGCTCTATAAACTTCTCCAAAGATCTGGGTTCCCTCGCAGGGAATTCTGTCACTTGATTTTGCAGGTTCAAAGTGATAAAAAGAACAAAGAGCGATGTGTCAACCCGTCTAGGAAGAGCTGCACTGCACGCATCTGTAAGAAAGCACAGCAAAATCAATGTCGCCAACTTCCACTTCATCAATTTGGTTGACTTGCTCCATTATTTACTTCTTAAAGGGTTCTTAAAAAGTCTTTTCTTTGGGTAAATCCTTTCAAAGTACTCCCTGTTGCTTCATTTACAGGGTAGGTTAGGGACCTTTATAGAAAGCTGAATCCCATATTGCAAGTGAATAAAGGGTAAAATGGGACTAGGTGTGGTGGTACACACCTGTAATCCCAGCATTCATAAAGCCAGAATGGGAAGAAGGCTGTAGTTCAAAGTCAACCTGTGTTACAGAGCAAGCTCTATAGTCAGACCTTGTCTCAAACAAAATGAACAAAAAGAAAACCATACACTATAATATTCAATAGACAGTGATAAAGTAAGCTGTTACAGCTCTACAAAAACAAAAACACTCATATTATATAAACACACAAAAATCAATTCCAGAAAGATTCACAAAGAGCTTAAAAAACCAGGCAGTGCTGGTGCACGCCTTTGATCCCAACACTCGGGAAGCAAGCAGATCTCTGTGAGTTCAAGGTCACCCTGGTCTACAGAGTGAGTTCAAGGACAACCAGGGCTACACAGTGAAAGCCTGTCTTAAGAAACAAAAACAAAAAGAAAGAGTAAAAAAGATTAAGTAATTTAGAAAATGACCAATAAAGACATATTTGGAGAATATAAACTCAGGCAATAATGAGATTCAATCACATTGACAAAAATTTACAAGTCTGATATTACCTAGTGGTATTGAAGGGAGAGAAAATAGGAATTACAGTATAATGTATTTGGTATAACAGAACAATTTGGAAATGTCTAACAAATTCTAAAGCTATATCCCATTCCTTGTTTTAGTTCATAGAAAAGTCCTCATACTAATAAACATAGCTGATAAGAATCCAAATATCACCAACAGAGGAATAAATAAACGATGGTATATTTAAATTTAATTTAGAGTTAAACAAACCTACCAAGAGCTACAGTGGTCAATATGAACAATTTTTTTTTGCAGAAAGAACATAGATTTATCAAGGAAAAGTGAGAAAGAACTCACACACCACTTGTTTTTAAAATATAAACCTTTCACATTAAGAAAAGAGCTAAGTATTGTGACAAACGATTGTAATTCCAGTACTTGAGAGGCTGAAGGAAGGGACTGAGAGTTTAGAGCCCGTCTTGGCTACATACTGCGTTCAGGTCAGCTTGGGGACTTATCTCAAAATGCCAAAAGAAAAAAAGCTTTAAAAGAATTAGACATTATTTGCAGACTATGGGTGCAGTGTGCCATCTCTACAAAGCTCCATATCCCACCAAACAACCTCATATTTTATGTAGGTTGCAAGCTTGTAAACAACAGAAGATGGTCACACTCACCACCACCTGTACAGGCATGCACTGTTAAGTGAAACAGAAAACCTGTCCAGCTATGCTGGTTTACTCTTTTTGCTTTTGGGGAGCCCTGCTAGTCAGATCCCAAGTAAATCACACTCTGAGTCTTATTATTGCTTATGAATGGCCGACTTTAGCTTGGCTTGTTGCTAGCCAGTTTTTTAATCTTTAAATTAAACCGTCTACCCTTTCCCTCTGGGCTTTTCTTTTTCTTACCTTGGTCTCTTGCTCTCCTCTCCCTCATTTTCTCCTTCTATTTGCCCTCTCTGCCTGCCAGCTCCACCTACCCTTGCTCCTGCCTCCCTATTGGCCGTTCAGCTCTTTATTAGGACCATCAGGTGTTTTAGACAGGCACAGTAACACAGCTTCACAGAGTTAAACAAATGCAGCATAAACAGAAGTCACACACCTTAAAATAATATTCTAACACAAAAAGCCCTTCCTATCACTCGGCCGACTTGAAATGACCAATAAAAGATAGCTTTAAGAAGCTGGAGAGATGGTACAGTGGTTATGAGCACTAGCTACTCTTCACTAGGGCCTGGGTTCAATCTCCAGCAACTTCATGGTGGCTGGCAACCATCTGTAATGAGCCTGGATCTCTCTTCTGACCTGCAGGCACGTAGACAGACAGAATATTGTATACATAATAAGTAAATTTTAAAAAGAATGATTCTTGTGCCTTTTGGGAGGCCAAAGCCACAGAAAGCTTTTAGGCATATAGGAATGCATCCGCTTGGAGTTAACTCTCATTTCCATTGGCAAGCAAAACAAACGCAAGCTTGGTGGTGCTGTGCCAGTAACTGTGATTTTGTCATAACTAACCTGTAATGTTCTTATTTTGGGGGGGGGAGCGTTTCGGGGCAGGATTTCTCTGTGGCTTTGGAGGCTGTCCTAGAACTAACTCTTGTAGATCAGGCTGGTCTCCAACTCACAGAGATCCACCTGTCTCTGCCTACCGAGTGCTGGGATTAAAGGCGAGTGCCACCATCGCTGGCTGTAAAGGTCTTTTAATGCTTTTAAAATTATAAAACGTTTTAAGCATATAGGAAGAGTATAAGAAGTAATACGGCAAGGATATATACCTACTACTAACTTCAACAAGTCAATTTCTTGCCATGTTTCTTTACATATTGTTGTTGCCTTTTCTTTTTAAGTTATAAGTACTAAAGAGTAGCAACACCCCGTGTGTGTGTGTGTGTGTGTGTGTGTGTGTGTGTGTGTCAGCACATGTGTGGGGGTCAGAGGTCAATTTGCAGGAGATGATTATCTCTTTCCACCTTGTGAGTCTAGGAGATCAAACTCGGGTTGTCAGGCTTGGCAGCAAGCACCTTTACCCAAAGAGTCATTTATTTTCCTTATTATTTTAGAACAATTAAAATAATAAAATCATCTTCTGATACTCAATATTAAAATAATAAGCATTATACAAGACCTTCTAATATTTATTTAGTTGGAAATATCAATTTTTTTTTTAGCTTCGGGGCTTATTGTACAGAAGAAGAGAGCCACACCTCCATCCTTAAACTTCTCAGTTGTTATTACTCTGAGATTCCTGGCAACCCCTTCATGATCGCCATGTGGATTTTATAATATAACTGTCTTAGATAGAGTTACTATTGCCTTGATGAAATTTCATGACCAAAAGCAACTTGGAGAAGAAAGGATTTATTTTATGATTCTACTTCATTGTTCAACATCAAAGATAGTGGGGGCAGGACTCAAACAGGTCAGGAGCCTGGAGGGAAGCTGATGCAGAGGCCACAGAGGGGAGCTGCTTCCTGGCTTGCTCCCCATGGCTTGCTCAGCCTGCTCTGAAGCTGAGCAGCCCAGGGCTGGCACCACCCACAATGAGCTGGGCCCTCCCCCATCAATCACTAATTGAGAAAATGCTCTACAGGCTTGCCTACTGCCTGATCTTAATGGGGGAATTTTCTCAATTAGGGTTCTTCCTCAAATGACTCTAGATGTGTCAGGTTGACATAAAATTATCCAGCACGATAACCAACAAAATTCTAAATCTTCCCTTAACATAGACATCATGATTTATAGGATTTGTAGAATGTGCTTTTACACTGACTGGTGAAAATTATATGAGAATTTATCACTAAACTAACTTTATTTTATCTAAGGTCAAATTTATGACAATTGTTTATAACCAATTGATGACATTTACTCAGAATTGACATAATTCATGTTTATAATCTTGTATTATGTTTTTATATGTTTTGTTTGTTTTATGTGTGTGGGTGTTTTGTCTGTAAAACCTGTCTGTGTAGCTCTGTGTGCCTGGTGCCCACAGAGGCTGAAAGAGGGCGTTGGATCTCCTGGGACTGGAGTTACAGACAATGATGAGCTGCCATGCGGGTGCTGGGTCTCAAACCCGGATCCTCTGGAAAAGTAGTCAGTGCTTTTAACCACTGAGTCATCTCTCCAGCCCCATATATCTTATACTAAACCACCATATATAGGTCTTGAGGAATATTTCTAATTCTAAAAATGATCAAAAAAGGAGCAGTTTTTTATACAAAATTACTCAATTAAGATTTTAGAAGCAAAAAGAAATTTTTAAAGGTTTTAGAAGCAGCAATTAAAAAATAACAACAAAGTTTTAGACTGCAAAGTGCTGACTATGGGAGATCTAGGAGCCTGAACAGAGATAAACCACAGAATAAAAGTTCCATTCGATTACTCCAGTGGGAAAGCGGCATCGGGTGGAGGGTGAAGAGCTTGCTCAGGGCTCAGGGCTCTAGACCTTCCTGTGCTTTCTTTATTCGTGAAAAAGATCCCCACTGTTGACGGATGTAACAGCGTGACTAGTTGTAATACACCCACAAAGCAGGATTCTTCCGAGGGCTCCTTAAAAGATTAGTTTCAGTTATCGGAAGGTAGGAGTGAGTGTGAAGGCTGGTGTGGTGTTAAATTGAGCCATCAAGTAATAATTACATTTCCTCCATTCAACTATGCAACACAGGAGCAAAAGGGCATGGACGCTTAATGCGGCTATTCTTAAGAACAAGATTAAAGGTCCGAGCCACCTAGGACAGACTGCAAATGTATGTCACGTTAACACAGCATTGGATGCTGGCTCTGCTCCCTACCTTGTGAGACTGTCCTGTCTCCCACCGTAATTTATGAACCCAGGGAAGTTGACTTTGGCCTCCAAACGACCCCAAATGTACTTTCTCCCAGGTGAAGAGAAAGCACCGGATTTCGGACTTGCCTTTTTCATAAGCCTGCAAGGGCACAAACAGCTCACGAGGAGCCTCTTCCTTCACAGGTGGCCAGGAGTATTCTCAGTGGAGAGGGATTCCCAGATAAAAAGCAAACATTTAAGGCTGGGGCCTCATTAGCATCTCCAAAGGACTGTGAAAAGCCTCTATTCTCTTTCTCCTGCCAAGTAAATTTTGTTTTGCCCAACGTTGGCACTGTTCCTGTGTTGTCATGGTGGGCATTGCTGTCACAGCTGTCCCAGGAGGTGCTGCCTTGAATATCTTTAGAAAATAACACGCAAATAAGGAACATGACAGTCACTACACCAAAAGGACTTTTTCAAAGGCAACAGCAACTCCTACAGCAAATTTCCAAGTGGGTAGCACAT